CACCAATACGCTTCGCGCGCTTTGTCAGAGTGCAAAGCGAAGTGCATGCGCGCGGGAAAGCGTTGACGGGAAAGCGCGGGCGCGCTTTCGCAGGTGCTGTCCGGTCTGCTGAAAGCTCTTGCACGGTTCTATAGAGGCGATCTTGATCCGAGACTGACTACCACTACAGTCCGAGCAGTCTCTCCAAACAATCTCTTCGATCCAGACTTCTCTCCAGGCAAGACTCAATGCCACCCTCGATGCGCAGGCAGACGCGCACCCTACTGTTGGCGGCCACGGGGCATGAGAAACGTGTGATTGCCAAGAAGCATGCGGTGGAGCACCTCAAGGCAGAAAAGACGCAGAGAGTCATTGGGAGCATGACGGGTTTGTCCAAGGGCTCTGTCTACATGCTGAAAAAAATGATGAAGGAGGAAAGGTGGGAAGAGCTGGCGTCGCAGTGTAACCTTGACACGTCGAAGAGAGCTGGATCTCCTACTGTTTTGACAACCAAAGAGGAACGCATGATAGTTGAGCGGCTCAAGTTTAGTGCGAAGAAGGGATTTGCCGTCGGTTACAAGCATCTGCGTGAGGTTATGGCGCAAGTCGCGAACGACGGACGTGAGAGGACGTGGGCAGACAACCACCCAATCAATGACTCCATTAGAGCCTTCCGTGCGCGCAATCGGGATCTCACATTCAGGAACTCGGAGAATAAAGAGGCAGTAAAGTTAAAGGGAGAGCGCGTCAATCACGTCGAGCCTTTCTTTTCTATTCTTGAGAGCGTCGAGCGCAAGCATCCTGGTATTCTCCAAGAGGGCCGGCGCATCTGGAACACTGATGAGACGTCTGTCACAGTCAGTTTTGGAGAGCGCATTAAGGTCTTTGGTCCTTCGAACACGCACCACGGGGGGTTACTCGCCTCCACGCTGAACGGCGGTGGCCAGCACATTACTGCCGTCATCGCGGTTTCTGCAGACGGCCTCGTGGCCCCTCCGTTCTTCATCATTTCTGGGAAGAAGATCATGCAAAAGTGGCTGGATCCTCTGGATCAGGTGTTTCTCGAGGCCGATTCGGACTGCCACATGTTTACTAAACCTGAATGGATGCCGGACGACGCCACTATCAAGGTCACTGAGAACGGCTCGATGGAAAAGGCTATTCTCCCAGCCTTCATCAAGCATCTGGATAACTTCGTGCGCAATTTCGCTGGTGTAAATGACATTTATCTACTCACGCTAGACGGCCACGGCTCTCGGAACGGCTACAAGTGGCTGGAGCTTTGTGAAGAAGTTGGATGTGAGATCGTCCAGTCTCCAGCCAATACATCGCACTTCCTCCAGCCATGTGATCAGATGGTGAATAAGAGGTTCAAAACGTCTCTGAGGATCCTCCGAGACAGATTCGCAGAGGTATGTATCATAGACGCGCGGTCTGTCAATTTCAGCTTGGCGTGCGCTGTATTCGCTCATCAAGCGATTTCGGAGTCGGACGTGCGCTCATCTTTTCTCACGTGCGGCCTGTTCCCGTTTCAACGCCACTTCGCTGATCGGTTCAGGACATCAGTGGAGCAGCTGCTCCTCTCCTCTGAGACAGCTGCTGGTCCTTCGAGCGGTGCGGGCTCTTCACGCAATGAAAGACCTTCGAGCGGCGTTGGTCTCGCAGTTGATGTACTGCAACGTCAACCTGATGCTGAGACAGAGTTTAAGATTGCAGCATTTATGGCCGAGGATGTGGCCAGTGCCGTCAAGATTCAGCGCATTCAAACTATGCTGGCAAACACCAACACTGTGAACAATATCCTCATGAACCGTATCTCCGCTCCGAAACCTATCCCGAGAGGTGAGAATGGTCACAAGAGGCCTGCGTTTGACAGTGGGGCGCCCGCGGACTGGCTCACAACAGCCGATCTGCTCAAGCGGCGCAAGGAGGCTGAGGCAGCCAAGATCGCCGAGGCCGCAGCGAAGGATCACCGCAAAGCTGCCGCTCTGCAGAGGCGCCGAGATGTCGCAGAGGCAAAACAGCTGCGTGCGGAAGAGAGGCGTGCGAAGGCACTCCGCAAGCTGCAGATGCGTGCAGGCATTGCACTGGCGGCTGTAGCCTCCGCGTCGATCACCGAGGAAGCTGCGAACGCCTTCTCTCCGGCGAACTCCGCGCTGTAGATTGCCACACAGCTCCCCGAAGTCTCTGAAAAGCACTGGAGGACGAGCAGACATGCCCGGGGGCACTCAGTTGCTCGAGCAATTCTAAAAGACGTTCATTAACGGCGTGCACACGAGCCTTCCGGTTGCAAATCTCAGGTGCCCAAAATTTGCCCGGGGCGATTTGAGCTCCCCTTTCGGAAGTTAGTCACTGATGTAAACGTTTCTCAGCCATTTACTGGTCGTTCCTCTTGGTTTTCATGCCTCTGGCTTCGCAAGACGCTTATCTTTTTATTGGTTGCGTCAGAACATCATACGGCCAAACTTTCTTTATTTGGGAGTAATTCGCGTACAAAGTGCCCATATTTACACCACTGGGAAGGGTACACACTAGGTAGAATTGACAGCTGTACACATGGCGCTCAGATGTGCCGCCTTCAAATCCAATTGCCCAGTCGACCTTTCCAACACCTGTGACTGTTTCGCGCATTGCGGACGCTGGCGTTAAGTGGGCTGCGACGGGAAACAAATGGCTGCAACACGAGCTCCCAGCTGCATGCCAACCACTGCGCTCGTGCGTATAGTGCTATCGCCTCTCATATCCCTAGCCCTTTGAAATCCCCCTGGTGTGATAATTGCAGCAACCTTGAGCGTGCGATAGCATTGGGCTGAGCATTCTCGTGACAAACCGGGGGTGGCGCCTGCATCGCGACAGCCAAAGTCTTCTTATAGCGAACAAAAATGCACACGCGCAGTGAGGCGCAGGCCCGGCACTCTACAAACGTCGAGGGCGGGAACGATCGTGCTCAACCTTATACCGCCATTGTCGCGGCCTGCGCTCGCTTATTGTTGCTACTTTTTTAGAAATCATTGAACCTTTCAAAGCGAACACAAACGCCATTCTCGCTAACGCTCTCCACACTGGACTTCAGAACATCTAGAGTTACATGCACTGTGGAACCCAGAGACGAGTACCCATACACTGGCATCTCTCCGCAAAATGTTTTTCGGCTCCTCATCTTACGCGAAAGTACGCTTCCCAGGCCCGTGACACTTCTCCTTCCAAGAAAAGAAAACAAAATTCTCGCTGCGACTACGACTGTGCAGACTGACATCACAGAGCTGAAAGACAATCAAAAAACGGAAACCCGTTGCAGCACATGGGGTTGCTCCAACGTGAAATCGAGAGGCTCGCTAGCTTCATATAAGTGCTCATTGAGCTGCAAAAAGACCTGACAAACCCAATGGACGTGCATAGGCACCAAGCCCTACGGGCACCTCGGTTAATACCCTGCTAACCATAATCTTCCGGAAACAGGCATCCTGCAGTACTGCAGCTCCTACGTGCGCACCGGGCGATGTTGATATGAAGCTGGAAAGCGCTCCGAATTCACTTTGGAGCGATCGAATGTCCTGCGACGACTTTCCGTGAATTTGTTGGTCTTTCAGCACAATGATACCTGCATGCAGAGTGATGTCCGCAGCGAGCAATTGGTTTGCCAGCGTTTTCTTTTCTTCATAGGCCCTTTGTCGCTCTGTGCGACATGCTGTGACACTGGTGGCTTACGAAGTCGGGCCTGTGAGCCCTAAGATAGCGAGTGAATCAGGCATGCTGCTCGAAAGCAGCATGGCCTGCTCAAAAATGGAAGGCGGCGATGAAAAGTGGGGCTCGGTATTCACCGCCGCGCCACAAAACCGTCCCCTTCGCTCACGCCCAACAGTGGGCAGCGGCGGGAGGGACATTGGGAATTTTTTGATGTAATACTGTAATGTTTTGTAAAACTTTTCGCCTGGTTTTCTGTCCAGGGCCCTCCCAGGGCGCTCGTGCGAAAACGTGCAGTGCTGTGGCTCGAGGCTGCAGGTCGAAGTCCGAACGGCCTTGCCGCTGCGTCGCTGTACACTACTGCCAGACACACAGTAAACTTCCCTCTACTTCGTAGTGTCACAAATGATAAAGAGCTCGTTTTTGGGTAAGAGGCCGGTGCGAGCCGGAGGACGGAGAGTTCACGATAATAGACGCGGACAGTCTCAAGCAAGAGGAAAAAGTGTCCACCATGTACAAATACGAGGGCCAGTCGACCTACTTACTCTTGTGCCTATTGGACCGTTGTCCTCATATGAGCCCGTTCTTTACCCTTTCTTCTAAACAGGTCATGTGTCTTGTCGCCAAGAAATGCATTCATTCAGTCTCTCCCCTCGCGACCGTGCTCAGATGGACGACTACGATGTTTCACTGTGGTTACAGCTGACAATTCTCGCTTCTAAGCACGTCCATTTCAATACGAATTTTTCATCTGAGGGGATAGTTCACCCTCAGTCTTGCACCTTCCATGGTTGACGCTCTTCAACTTGTCTTTTAATCGCCATGACACAGTTACCACAGTATACAGCATTCACTGAATGTCCAAACATATTATGTACTGTTGCTTTTCGAACGCACGCCATCGCTCCCCGCAACTTCAACAAATGTCCCATTCTTTTCGACAACTTGTACACTTCTCGTGCCTCTTTTAGGAATATGCATTCCATACTCATCCCACGAGCTGAAATATACGTCGACCGACTCCCCACACTCAATGTTTCCTTCTTCAATGCCGGAAAATGGGTGTGAGATGGCCCCGAACTACCAGTCGAGGAGTAACATGTTTTTGCTTTTTACCATCATATTCTTTGAATCCTATGTTTCGTCTTGCAAAGTCACCATGCGCGGTGCACATGGGCAGACTGTATCTATCTAGCTGTTTCGCCATGTCCACTAACGTTGGTATAAGTTGGACAAGGTAGGGCATTGCAGCTCCTAACCCTCTCGCAAATACGCATCAGCAAATAATGCTGATGAACAAGGGGTACACTTTGTACATTTTATCAGAACATTATGGGTTACCGAGCGGCACGAACAGCATGGGCTTTTCCGCGGAGGTCGTGAAAAACGATGAGTTCGTCCCTTGTGAGCTTGTGCGACGTCGTGGAGGCGACGTTTTGTGTACCGGATTTTATCCTCCGCAAGGTTGGGGGCGAGATGTTTCGCAATGTCGAGCTGCCGGAAGTGCGCCCCAAGGCTGAGACCACGCGAGGGCACAACGTGTGTGCGGTAGACCATGACGGGACGGGCTGGTGGACATCAAGTTTAGCCAAGGGTTTCGTAACGAGTTTTTTTGAGGGGGTGACCGGTTGTTGAGGAACGAAATGGAGCTTTGACGACAAGACAAGACACAAGACCTGTTTATGAGAAAGGGGAATGAACCGGGCTGGTGTACGTAAGAGGGGAAGCAGCGTGGGTCGTGTGCGTCGACTAACGCGCCAGTGTTGCTGCGTGACTTCATACAACACTTTCGAAGCAGCCATGGCGCAAGAGTCCCAGTGGTTCGTGTTCCGTGTCCCCCAGTTACGCCCGACTCAGCTTGACTCCCTCCCGCACCAGTTTCCCGAGAAGCTCCACCACTTCGTCTTCATTGCGCCCCGCCATGGCGTCCTGGAACAGCCTCGAGGCCCGCGTGGCATCCCTCGCAACCCCGTTCCCCCCGTCCCTCAGCAGGACTGCCATGCTCAACATAGCATCCCGATCTTGCCGCGTCTCGATCGCGCGCTCGTACAACCGCGCCGCGCGACCCGCGTTGCTCCGCACCCCGTCCGTGCCTCGCACTAGCATGTCGCCGAGCGCCACCATCGCCTCGACATCACCGTGCTCTTCAACCGCCCGCTCAAATAGCTTCACAGCCCGCGCCGCGTCCCGCCGCACCCCGTCCCCTCCGTCCCGCAATAGGCTCCCCAGGTAGCGCATAGCTTCGACATTCTGCCCTTTTTCGATGGCCCGCTCGTACAATTCTACAGCCCGAACCATGTCCGTATCCACCCCTCCCGGGCCATTGGATAGTAGCCAGCCTAGACCCACCATCGACCTGACATCATCGTGCACTTCAATCGCTCCCTGAAACAACTTTGCAGCCCGAGTTACATCCTGCACAACCTCGTCCCCTCCAGCCATCATGAGCGATGCCAGGTTGTGCATCGCCTTGCTGTCATCGCCTTTCTCGATCGCACGCTTGTAGAGATCAACAGCACGACCCACATTTCTCTCCACACCCTCCGCCCCGTTCTTCAGCAGGACTCCGAGGTTGTTCATTGCCATGACATCATCGTGCTCGTTGATTAAGTCCTCGTACAGCTCCACAGCCCTCGCTGAATTCCGTGCCACTCCGTCCCCTCCTTCCTTCATCAGGAGTGCAAGATTGTGCATAGCGTCGCCGTCATTGCCTCTCTCGATCGCACGCTCGTAGAGCTCCACAGCACGACCCACATTTCTCTCCACACCCTCCGCCCCGTTCTTCAGCAGGACTCCGAGGTTGACCATCGCATAGACATCATCGTGCTCGTTGATTAAGTCCTCGTACAGCTCCACAGCCCTCGCTGAATTCCGTGCAACTCCGCCCCCTCCCTCACTCAATACAACTGCTAGTTGGAACTTTGCGTAGGGATCTTGACATTCCTCGATCGCACGCTCGTAGAGCTCCACAGCACGACCCACATTTCTCTCCACTCCCTCCGCCCCGTTCTCCAGCAGGACTCCGAGGTTGTTCATCGAATTGACATGGCCGTGCTCGTTGATTAAGTCCTCGTACAGCTCCACAGCCCTCGCTGAATTCCGTGCAACTCCGTCCCCTCCCTCACTCAATACAACTGCTAGTTGGAACTTTGCGTAGGGATCTTGACATTTCTCAATCGCGCGCTTGTACAGCTCGACAGCCCGAAGCACGTTCTTCTCCACTCCCTCCGCCCCGTTCTCCAGCAGGACTCCGAGGTTGTTCATCGAATTGACATGGCCGTGCTCGTTGATTAAGTCCTCGTACAGCTCCACAGCCCTCGCTGAATTCCGTGCAACTCCGCCCCCTCCCTCACTCAATACAACTGCTAGGTGGAACTTTGCGTAGGGATCTTGACATTCCTCGATCGCACGCTCGTAGAGCTCCACAGCACGACCCACATTTCTCTCCACACCCTCCGCCCCGTTCTTCAGCAGGACTCCGAGGTTGACCATCGCATAGACATCATCGTGCTCGTTGATTAAGTCCTCGTACAGCTCCACAGCCCTCGCTGAATTCCGTGCAACTCCGCCCCCTCCCTCACTCAATACAACTGCTAGTTGGAACTTTGCGTAGGGATCTTGACATTCCTCGATCGCACGCTCGTAGAGCTCCACAGCACGACCCACATTTCTCTCCACTCCCTCCGCCCCGTTCTCCAGCAGGACTCCGAGGTTGTTCATCGAATTGACATGGCCGTGCTCGTTGATTAAGTCCTCGTACAGCTCCACAGCCCTCGCTGAATTCCGTGCAACTCCGTCCCCTCCCTCACTCAATACAACTGCTAGTTGGAACTTTGCGTAGGGATCTTGACATTTCTCAATCGCGCGCTTGTACAGCTCGACAGCCCGAAGCACGTTCTTCTCCACTCCCTCCGCCCCGTTCTTCAGCAGGACTCCGAGGTTGACCATCGCATAGACATCATCGTGCTCGTTGACTAAGTCCTCGTACAGCTCCACAGCCCTCGCTGAATTCCGTGCCACTCCGTCCCCTCCTTCCTTCATCAGGAGTGCAAGATTGCGCATAGCGTTGCCGTCGTTGCCTTTCTCGATCGCACGCTCGTAGAGCTCTACAGCACGACCCACATTTCTCTCCACTCCCTCTGCCCCGTTCTTCAGCAGGACTCCGAGGTTGACCATCGCATCGACATTATCGTGCTCGTTGATTAAGTCCTCGTACAGCTCCACAGCCCTCGCTGAATTCCGTGCCACTCCGTCCCCTCCTTCATGCATCAGGAGTGCAAGATTGTGCATAGCGTCGCAGTCATTGCCTTTCTCGATCGCACGCTCGTAGAGCTCTACAGCACGACCCACATTTCTCTCCACTCCCTCCGCCCCGTTCTCCAGCAGGATACCCAGGTCGACCATCGCATCGACATAATCGTGCTCTTCGACTAAGTCCTCATACAGCTGCACAGCCCCCGCTGAATTCTGTGCAACCCCGCCCCCTCCCTCACTTAATACAAATGCTAGGTTGCACCTAGCGCGGCAATCTTGACATTTCTCAATCGCGCGCTTGTACAGCTCGACAGCCCGAAGGACGTTCTTCTCGACTCCCTCCGCGCCGTCATTCAGCAGGACTCCGAGAGCGACCATCGCGCGGACGCTTTCATTTTTGTCGATCGCCTTTTCATATAACTCGCCAGCGCGTACTGCGTCCGTCTGGATTCCCTCCGCTCCATCTACGAGCAGGTTGCCCAGTTTGACCATGGCGTCGGAATCATGGTGCTCCTCAATCGCGCGTTCATACAACCCCATGGCGCGCTCTGCGTTGATCCCGACGCCTTCTGCGCCTTCTGCTAAGAGGTTGCCGAGGCCCACCATCGCCCCGACATGATCGTGCTCCTCAATCGCGCGCTCGTACAGCTTCACAGCTTCCGTTGCATCCTTCTCAACTTGGTCGCCTCCGTCCCTCATTTCGTTGGCTAGCTTGAACATGGCGTCACCGCCACTATCTTGCTCACGACCCGCGGGTCGGTTCAGCCCGACGGCTCTCATGGAGTTGTCTTCTGCGCTCTGCGGCGCTTCTGCTCGCAACTTGGTCATTGCTCCAGCAGACTTACGAACGGCACCGCCCTGATGAGCAAAAGCAGCCCCCAGCGCGGAACACCGGTTTAGGACTGGAGGCGTGTGAGTGGAGAAATTAGCAAAAGATTACAAAATTTTAGATGTGCTAGATTTTATGATTTTTTAGATTTGATGGTGGGCGTTTCTGGAAGCGCGCGCCGTGAGAAATAAAAAGGTGCTGGAGGCTGCCTCGCAGGCGGCCGGGGGGACAGCACACAACTCCCCGGTCCCTACCCAACATGTGGTGTACGATATTACCCCTGGGGTAATTTACGCCTGGCGGAATTCCGCAACTATTCTGGAAAGGTACTGTAAAGAAAGAAGTATGATACATTGCAGAATTCTGCAACGTTTTGGTTCATAGATTTTTAATTTGAGTTAATTTAATTTACGCTACCACTCCAATACTGTAAGAGCATCCCCACCGGTCGGAGAATAAATGAGCAAAGAGCTAAATATTTTCAACACTTGTCATTCAAATACTGGTGCGCATGCCCAGGTGCATTTGTTCACATTTGGCATTTTAGCTCCGACATCAACACACTCCACCGGTGTTGCCAGAGCTAAATGCAGAAACGCACTCAAATGGAGCAGTCTTCATTGGAGGAACAGTTAAATCCTCTGGATTTCGGCTGGTCTGCACCGGCCATTATTGTGATGGGAACGAGGCTCGAGATGGAATAGGCAATGATTGGGTGGGTTGGTGGGAGCATGTTCTGCACCTGGGAGAGCGGTGTGCGAAAGGGAGCGCATAAACAGGGTGGTGGTTGGGCAAGATCGCATGTACCTTGCGATCGATGCAGAAGGAGAGGCGCAGGTTGGAGGGGGAGGCGCGGCAATACGCGAGCGACGCGAGCGAAACATGTAGGAGAACGGGAAGTACTATACGAGCAGATTCCCGCCACCAGAAAACCAATAACTGCTTCGCACTTGTGTCATGGAATTTTTGGCTCTGGGCTATTTTCGAGGTGTGAAACCGACCGATTTGCACCCTGGAAATACCCCCGGGCTAAATAATTTTAGCTTTTGACTCCTCGGTGGAGCGGATTCACCAGGTGTAAAAGCTAAAATTTTACCTTTCAACTCTTTGCTCATGCCGGTGGGGATGCTCTAACCCGGGAGTATTACGAGTTTGTGTGAAGGGGATTTAGGGGTGGCAGGGCAAAGCGCAAGCGGAAGACAGTGTAAACGGCAGACGAAGTCGCAAGCAAAGCGGGATAAACTGTACGAGGGCGACTGCTCTGCCGGAAACTGTTGTAAACTCTGCCACCTTTCAAAACTGTAGGGCCTAAACATGAAGGCCTGACCACTGTGTTTTCCCAACCGTCCACCTCCCTCCGCCGTCTGAAGCGCGACGCGGACGGGCGGGCCGGCGGGAGTGCCGTGGGGATGTGAGACAAGGGATTCGGTATATGGGGGATGGGGGATGGGAGGATGTGAGTTAGTTGAATAGAAGGGTAGGGGGTAAAGGAGGGGGGTGGGGAATCGGCCGATGATGGCCAAGAGTCTCTGGTGCCCATGTTTGTGCCATACACTTCGAGCAGCAGCAGCAGCCGATGAAAGGCGGCGAAGCGAGGGTAGTGAGCAGAGAACTTATGGTGTGCGGGGGCGTGCCGGCGGACGAGGACGAGGGCGTCAGCCGGGGGGCTGTGGCGGAGGCCGCGCTCGAGGCGGCGCAGCAGGGCGTAGAATCGTCGTTGGGGGCGGCGATGGGGCGTCACAGGTGCATGACGCACATGGCGTCGTCCAGCGGGAGGCCGTCCGTGATCATAACGCAAGCGAGGGCGGCAGTGACGCTGCGCAAGATGCCCTGGGTGCAGGGGATGACAGCGGCGGTGCCGGTGCGGCGGGCGCGGTCGACGAAGGCCAGGATGGGGCGGGAAGCAGGCGGACAAGGCCAGGGCGGCCAAGCCGTGGATGCTACCGCCTTCTAACTCACCCTTAAGAGCCGCGGATGCCCGCACCATCTTCGCACTCTCAACTGTGCCATGGCGACCAAAGCCCCTCCCAGCCCAGACACCTCCACTCCAGAGGTTTGTCCTTGTAAAGCGACGAGGCGGGCATAGAGTGCGAAGAGCGGCGCTTTGCGAAAGACCTAGAACAGCGGGAGAGGGATAGAGAAGAGCGGCGCAAGGAACGAGAAGAGGCCAACAACCTGAAGCTTGAAACATTCAAGCTTATGATGGAGTCGTTCAAACAGCGCAAGAAAACACGCTGACGGCTTCCGCCCCTTAGCCCCCTACACACTCCCAATGCCCCTTCCTTAAAGTTAAAGTACGACACCGCCCACACTCCCCACCGCATTCCCCTTCTCCTCCCTGCTTACCGAACCCACTCGTCCGCCTCCAACCCCTTCCTCCGCTTCCCAGCCCCCCGCGCCACCCCCGCCCTTACCTGGCTGCTCCTGACACCCGCGCCCTCACGCGCGTGCTACCCTACACGCGCCTCGTCTACGAGGACCTTCTCAAGTCCTCACAGCCCCGCTCCTAGATAGACCGCCAACAGCCTTGCGCCCCCAACCTCGCACTATCTTCCGCATGTGCCCCCTCCACCCGCGGGGCCAAACGCAACCGCAATCACCATCCCCGACTCCAACCTCCCTCCCAACCTCCCTCCCAACCTCCCTCCCAACCTTGGTGACGCTGAGTTGCAGAATTCTGCAATACTGTAATTCCAGTTTCGGTTTCTTTGCATTTTAGTTGCAGAATTGCGGTGGCGTAATAACCTCCATTGGAGGACTCCGAAAATCACAAATATCTCTAATCTCGGGGCAACTGAGATTATTGCCCCCGGGGGGTCGCCCCCGCGACGCAACTTGATGAATGTGTGCACGACTTTATGACAAGGGCGAGTGAGCCGCGGACGATAGCCACCCCTCGACAGCCACGTACTGTATCGTTCTGCTCGTAGCTCCCTGCCTGTGCCTCCTTTATTGGTGCACATACTGTACCGGTACCGTTAATGTACAAACCGTCAAAGAGGGCACACCTCTCGCGCGCAGCCTGGAAGCACTAATCCCCCCCTTCCCCCCACCTGTCTCATCATTCGTTCAGGCCCTACACCCACCGATACTAGCGCGTTGATCGACGTGCACAATCCCCTCGGCTCTTTGCCCCCTTTTACGAGCAGGTCGTGAGCACAAAAGGCAAAAGCGCACAAGACTGCTGAGAGACAGCGATGTCCTTTCAATTGTCGAGTGGGACACGGCGGTGGGCGAGGGCGGCGGGGAGGGCTCTGATGGTGGGACACGGGCTGGGCCGGCGGCGGCGGGTCAGGCGGGCAAAGGCGAAGGGGCAGTGGCGTGCGTGAATAAGGCGGCGACGGCGGGGAAAGCGGCGCGCGTGGCGGTGCGGAGGGCGAGTTCGGCGCGGAACCGGCCGAGCGCGAGGCAGAACCGCGAGAGGAGAAAGTTGCGGGAGGCGCGGAAGACAACGTGGATGCGAGGGGTGGAGCGCGAGAACGAGCGGCTGGTGCGGCGGACGAGGGCGCTCGTGGAGAGGGTGCAGGTGCAGGTGCTGGTGGGGGTGGCGAGGCGGCGCGGGAGGCGGACGGGAGGCGGGAGATGTGAGAGAGAGTACGTAGCGGGAACAAGGGCGTGGCGGAATGTTACTTGCACCCCTTATGAATTACAGTAACAGCGAGGATGCAGTGAGAGTACAGCGAGGATTGTTTTCTGCGGAAACGTGTGACACGTGTTCCAGCAGAGTTGCAGCTGCCACTGTTGAAACAAGAAACTCACAAAACCTCTTTTCTTCGTCGTCTTTACTCTCGCTCCTACTTATCCGTCTCGCTGCTGGCTGTAATCGGACAGCCTATCGTGGTCGGTGTGTTACTGGGGGCCGCTTGTATTACCTGTGCCGGCCAGGACACTTTCCCTTTTACCCAGTGCTTATCTGTCACATGGTAACCGATGTCCCTTGCAGAGACGGTGTTCTTCATTGGATCGAGTGACGACGCCGACGTTCCATAAAGGGAGAGGGAAGGACGTTGTCGGATGGCAGAAACTTGGCAGGCCGCTGCTTGGCACGAAGGAGGGGCACGAAGGAGGAGGGGAACGGCAGCGAAACAATGTCTCGAGATAAACCGATTCTCAATGCCGTCACAACTCTCGATCGGGGCCGCTCTGCAACTTCTTACTTCGTATGTCACATTGCCATAGCGAACTGCGCCTTTCGCAACGCGCTTGCGCTCTTCTTTTCGCAAGACATCCATGTGCGCCCCTTGCAATGCTCGATGTGCTTTTCACCCAACACGCGCTCCTATTCCCTGCCATAGCTCCCAACCAACATCTTTCCTCTCTCCGTTCTCCCGACGCCTTTCTCTCCTCGCAAACCCCATTCGCGGTCTTACAACGGCGTCTTATTCGGCTCCCCCGGCAACCTCGGAAACGCCCGTGGCGTTGCCTCCACTTTTCTTACGGCCACAATACACTTGTTCCTTCCGTCAACCTTCCGCCTGTTCCCCCTGTACCTGCATCCACTCCCACGGCCACGCCTCGCGCACACCTTCCAACTTCCCGCCCAGCCTTCTGATGGCCTCTTTCGCAGCGGCGATCTCCTCAGAGCCCGCGCCCACGCTCTTCTGCGCGAATAACGCGCCCCCCACCTTTGCCAGCGGCACGCACAGTTCGCAGCAACGCGCGTTTCAGCCAACGACCGTGCCACAACCGCGTCATACCGCCCCCGATGCATCTTACTCTGCCCAACCTCCTCTGCCCTCCCCCACACCGACGTGACGTTGCGCAGGGCCAGCTCGCGCTCCACGATGTCGTGGAAGCGCGTCTTCTTACGCGCGGCCTCGAGCAGCGTGACGTCCTACTGCGGCCTCGCGATGGCCAGGACGACCCCGGGAACCCCGCGCCCGCGCCGACATCAACGACGCGCAGCCCGGTTGCAGCGGCCGCGGCCTCCGCGTCCAGCGCCGGTAGCAGGCTCAGCGCGTCCACAACGTGCTTAAGCCCACGGCATCGCGCGTGCGGATCGCCGTGAGGTTGTACCGCTTGCTCTCGCTCAGCAGCAGATCCGTGAGCCGCACGGGCCGCACGAGCTTGTGGAGCCGCGCCACGTCCAGGCCCGGCGAGTGGGCGGCGCGTCGCAGCACTGCTTGCGCGCGGGCGATATTCTGCTGCGTCGCGCAGCGCCACGCGCAGCAGCGGCCGCGCCCCGGTATGCGGATCGCAGCACGTGACTCGCGCGCCCTGTCGGCGGCGAGACGGCGATGGCGATACGGCAAGCGGTGAGCCACGGAGTCATGCAGACGGAGCTGTTGGAGGCCGACTGAGGGGTGGGCTAAACTGTGCGACCGATGGATTCGGGTAAGGGGGTAAGGAAAGTCGGCTACTCTGCCTTTAATGGAAACAGAGTATCGCTAGCGTACAGGTGGGTGTTTTCGATTAACATCGAGTCGACGTTCGCCACTGGTGTCGGAGACTCGCGCGCAACTCTGCCGTCCCGCTCCGTCCTCCTTTTCCCCTGTCTTCCTCTCCAGCTAAAGGAGAAGGCCATCGAGGCGATGACGAAACGCACTACTGTACACGTGTTACTGTTGTCATATACATTAATAATATCCAAAAATATCAAAAATATGCAGTACAGTGATTCCTTGATAAAAGAAAGAGAAGAAATTCTCCAATAAGAAATTTCCTCGCATTAAGAAACTTCGAGGAATCCACAACCACAAACCCCTCTGAACTGTGTTCCGTAAATCACTGGTCAAAATACAAGGCATGGGCCCTTTGAGCGACGCAAGCGCAGTTTCAGAGGACCTGTTGATGTCAGCTTGGATGTACAGGTGTAGATGATTGGGTGCATCCAGGAATACACTAGAGTTCCAGATGCCCAGATCCTTGCGCTGTAATACAGCGCTAATACAGGCTTTGTTGTGTTTGTGTTAGCAGTGTGCTTTGTCCCCAAATATATGTATTTGAGCCTACTTTGTATAGTGCCATCCCCCCAATAGTGCCATAGCTAGAGGTATGTCACGCTATAGCACTATATCGTAGGAGGCACTGTACTAGAATATCCGCACTCGAGGCCGGTGGACAACCCACACTTATCTACTCCCACGAGCCCCCCCCCTCCGTGTTTGCCTCCCGGCAGACTCTCCTGTGCGGCGTGATACGCCAGCCCGTTCCCACGCTCTGGACTCGAGAGAGTTGCTGCAATGCTTGTTTTCGACCAGGACAACGCAACAATTCCTCGCATCGTCACTTATTATGAACTATTTCATCTTTGGACCACACGTTACTTGTTGGGGCTTCGGCGCATCTACGAACGTCCCCTTCCTTGCCTACACTGACGATTTCCTCCAGAGCCTTCCTTCTCTCTCCACAGCCAGCAGTCGCTCCCGTAAATCCCATCTACCCCACCTTGACCGTGTTATTTCTCGCAAGTATCCCTTCACTTCACGGTACACGATTGACAAAGACGAGTCATTACAGTGAGCTCTCGTCTCTGCAAGTAAACACACCCAGACTTTCACATCAAAACCTCCTAGATTCTTTCCAAGTCACTCGCACACCTCGCTTTCTTTGCCAATATGGCCTTCGACCATCTCGCTGACAACACCATCATCGTCCTGTTGGCCTACACCGCCGCCTTCCTCCCGTGGACTGCTCTCACCACCTTTGACTTTATCTCTGCCAAATGGCGCAGGGTACGTGACGTTCGTATCGCCGGCTACGTCAACCTTGTTCTCGCGCTAGTCCCGGCAATCTACATACTGTTTTACATGGTCGTGCAATCCAATGTCGATCAAAAGGAGATGTTCACTGCGCTGGTCGCTATGCTGTTTGCGTTGCTGCACGTTGTGCGGACGTTATGGGGACTGTGGCAGTTGCAGCTATTTGTCAAGTGGGCTGTCAAGAGCATTAAGTCGTTGCGGGCCCTTGGGATTGAATATGAGCTCAACACGGGCGCCCGTACTGGCTATGATGGGAAGAAGCAAACCCAGAATGGCGAAGAAAGAGAACAGGAAACCACGAATATCGGTACTACGCAGGAGCCCGGAAATACCGACGACAAGGAAAAAGTGCATTCTGTGGCTGAAATTGTAGATGAACTATGGGTGAGCGATGAACTGATTGAGAACCGTGTGTCCCATGGGAATGCTCGGTGCTACATAGTGTTTGACAAGATTGAGTTTAGAATAGATCCAAAGAGAAGAAACGTGTTTCGTCAACGCATCGTGCTTCTGTTACAGGCGCTCTCGATACCATTTCGGTATGTGTATGGAATAGTGCAGAAATGGCTTGGGAATGGGTCTATACCCTGCTTTGTCCAGGTACCGCACGAGCCAGAGGATGTGTGGCTGCGATGGTGCGTGGCGTTTGCGGCGCAGGGGTTGAACAAGTGGATAACGGAGTTCACCGTTGCGCCGGAAGTCGATGATGAGGATGGGGCGATAAATAACTTGGAGCGGTACGAAAGACGACGAGAACACCTGGCTGGGCGCGTGCTGGCGACGGCCGGAATACAATTGTGGCTGGGGAGTTGTTTGCCGCTGGGTGAAGGCAAGTCGCTTTTGTCAAAAGAGGGCTTGTTGCGACGAGCGATGACGAGTGGACGTGGAATGCCGTTCGATGCAGTGCAGAGGAATGCGGTCTTGCGGCCTGGAAAGGGGTACAAGGCCTATGAGAGAAAACTAAATCGATTCATTAGTGGAATTCCGGTGGAGTTTGAAGAACAAGTGGAAGAGTTGGACATCGAGAGAGTGGAGTGGCTTGCGATTTTGCTGTACATAGGAGAAGAACAGATTGGCAACGGAAGTGCGAGCAGAGATTCTCGTAGATCTGAGGAGTATGAGAAACTGGAGCATGACGATTTAGCGATTGAAAATATGCGAGCACAGCTGGGTATGGGCAACAGAACTTCAGGAGTGGATGCAGCGGAAAGAAGGAGTGCTAGCATATGCGGATTTCCGATGCCAGAACGATACTTTCATGAAGTATCCAAGGAGAATAGACTGGTGACCAAGGTCGGGGAGCTTGTCGACTGCTGGTTAGCGCTTATGGCGGGAGTGCAAATGCAATTCCTGGTGAGTAAAGACGAAGAATGGCTAGGACGTTGTCTGGGTCAAGTCGAACATGACCAAGAGACTGTGGTGAGCGTAGAAGGCGTGGAGATGGGAGGGATGGAAAAGAGGGGGAGCAGCCTCTTCATGAGACATGTTCGAATTGAAGAAGCGATGCAAGCATTCCAGTTTGGAGTCGTGGGTCAAGAGTTTGAGCAGTTGGAGCAGACATTGACGTTTATGGGATATTCGCTGGAGAGCGTGCGTACGAGACTGGGAAGGTGGGTGAAAGCGAACACGGACTCGCAGAGTGGGGCGTGGAGGCCTTTGATGTTTCAAGCGGGGGAGTTGATATCGGGGTGGACGGAGGTTGGGCGTGTATCGAATGATGTGTCACGTACCCTGCGGCAGAGAGAAGGGAATGCAGTACTGAGGGATCGGGCGGTGCAGTGTCGTGTAGTGTGGGAGTTGCAATGTGTTTTGAGGGAAAGGGTATCGGGAATGGAAGGGAGCCCGAGCAGTATGGTAGCGGTGGCGCTTTGCATGGTCAGTTTTCCGTCGCTGGTTGTGATGAATACAGAAGAAGCGAGCGAGGAAATCAGTGACACGGATGTGCGGTCAAGCGAGGCAGGGGGGGTGGCAATCTCGGAAAATCGAGATAGTGTGTCAGTATCATTCGGGAATGAGCAAAGAGGTGGGGATGCGGAAGAAGAGAGGAAGAAACGGAGCGAAGAAATGTTTGTGATAGTGCCGATTTGTGGGCCTCAGAGAATGAGGCTTCAGGTACAAGTGGGCGACGATGACGATTGGAGCAATAGAGGTGGAGCGGGCGATAGAGGATGCAAAGTGAGAGTACGGTTGTGCCGGGGGGCGACATCGCGAGATGAGCGGTTTGAGTGGGGATGGTGGCGGGAGGCAGCGTTGGGACGTATGGAGGGATTGAGGCGATGGCAGAAGAATCATGGTATGTGTTCGCCAGACTTGCATGCTGGGCACCGGAATATGACGTCAGGCATCGTGAGTGTAAAGCCAAGAGCACACAAAACGGGGACAGAGGTTGAGATGTGGTCGGGATGGGAACCGTTTCGAAGCCAGCAATGCAGATTTGAGCTAGAAGGGGACAAAGTTCTTGCGAAATTTGAAGTGAGCATGCGACACGGTGATCTCGTTGTTACAAAGAAAAACATTACGACATCCCACACCCAAGCCGTCGGGGAGAGAAGCTTCACGGTGTACGAAGACAATGACCGCGAGGCCTTACAAGACGGATGTTTGATAGTAGGAGAAGCACTGGATGATAAGTCGCCAGGTTGCTTGAGCTCAGTCAGGGCTGGAGCATATGAAGATGAAGAGTTTGCGAAGAACCTGCCAGCAAAAGGCGAAAACGTTATTGGGGAAGAGTTGGGCCAGGTCCGAAGAGACATTTTTCTGTTGAAGGTTGCTGCACTGGAGCATGGTGATATGAACGCGTTGCAGAGATGCGTGAAGCTCCTCACCGACTCGAGTGAGGAGATGACAGAACACATGATATTGACGAACAGGCGACGAGCTGGAGAATTGGTGCTAGCTTTTTTCCACAGTGTTTTTGTGAGCAGAACGGGGAGTTGCGGGGTCAAGGGTGGTGGAAGAGAGTTTGAAGCGTTGTTTTCATTATTGCAGGAGCTTGTGGAGAAATCGGCTTTTGACAACTATGTCGTGGATGTGGTTCTGGATTTTCTGAAATGCGCAGTAGATCTGAGTATACCTGAGGATGTACGAAGCTGCCTCGTATGGATGCGAAGGTTGATAGCAAGATCACTGAGATTGGATCAGTTGGATTGTCTTTGTCGTAGTTTTGAAGAAATAATTGGAGCGGAACGAGGGCAAGGAGTGGCTATCCGTCGAAAGCAGTTGCTCTTCACGGACAGTGAGGTGACCGAGTACGACGTGTGTACTGTTAACATTTTAGAAAAGACTCTTCTGGAACGCAAGATTGAGGAGCATGATGATGTCGGGGCGATGAACAAGCTAGGACTGATGGTGGAGGAGGGCGCAGAAGGGGTAGAAGCCGATGCGGTACGCGCAATGGAGCTTTATGAGCTTGCAATATCGAAGGGCAGGAACGGCATTGCGATGTACAACCTAGGTTGTTTGTTGGAGACCGGAGGGGAGGGGGTCGAGAAGGA